GACATTTAAGTAATGTTAGCTTTGCTTTTGATAAAGGATTTAGCTTTCAGTAAGTTTAAATAACTGTAACTTAAAATAAACAATCTTTAAGCATAAATAAATCCTTGAGCGATCTGATCTAATGCCAGTTAGCCCTGTTCAGCATGGGGGGTTGGATGAGTTCATCCCTTGACTTTCCTTCCAGCCTAATTTTTTTCTGTGATTTTACCTCCTTTAATTATTACTAATTACTAATTGCTTATTTGATAGATCTGTCAATAATCTAACACTTAAGAAATCATCACCTTATCCTCAAACTTCCGTGAAGTCCAATCTCCTTTCTACTCATTCAGCAAACATCCCACAAGCTCCAAGGCAGGTATTACTTAGTCACTCTTCCTTTTTTAGTAAATTTATACTTCTGCAGTGCAAAGTAGCAGGACTCTGCCCCACCATCCATCCATTGAATCTCAGATGTTATCACTGACTGGCCTTGTTCCTGACTCCTTCATTTCATATATTACTTGTCTTTATAGAGAATAATTGAAAGAAATACTTATTTAAAAAAATCAGTTTAGTTGAATGATCTGTTTGACAACCTTGACACTTCTGTAGTATTTTTTACAATTTGAACAATCATCATACAATGTCCCAGATTGGTTTGGATAATTTAAAATAGTCATTACAGGACCTACACAGTCATTCTTGCACAACTTTGTTTACATACTGTGAACCTGGTTCATAAGAAAACATGAGAAGTTTCTTGTGAAACAATAATGTTTAAATAGAAAATGGAAAATTTGTAAATTGATTTTGATACTATTTAGATGTAATTAAGCCTGAAATTACCTTACTGTTGAAAGATGACTGTTTTCATATCTGTAGTTAAACTTTGAATCCTCTAAAGGAATATCTGACCTTATTCTGTATTGTAGTTTGAGGTAGAAATACATTTTTCTGAAAGAAGAAACTTGCACAATAAATGCTAATACAAAGTGATTTGGACATGAAACATTTTTTCAGTCTCACAAGAATTTTTGCAGATTAGAAGGATTTCCTGTCCCAAACCAGCAAAAGAAATTAAAATAATGAAAATGCTTATGATATGCAGATTTGGAAAGAAAGCTGGAATACCATAGAAACAGGTTAAAAAAACCCAAGCTAAATATTCTACGTATTTTTTCTAACTTAATTTTTAAATCAAACCACAAGATTTTTTTCAATTTGAGAACTGGCAAGTTTTTTGCATTTTGTAAATATGTTCATATTTTCAGATTTTTAATTTTCCCCCCCAATCTATTAAAAACAATATGTTCCTTCAACCGATTGCAGACTCTGCATGACCTACTATTTTATAATAATAGCAAAATGCTCCTGACCATTTTTTACTCCTGATAACTTTGAAGAAAGAGACAGAGGTACCATCAGGACTGGCAGTACAAGCACACAAGCCAAATGGAATATCTTCATATCTTACATAAAAGGTAATGTGAATGGATTTGGAATTGTCATTTAAAGCCTGTGTGTCAGGGAAATCACCTTCTAGCCTATAAAGGATGTCTTTGCTTCATATGCTCTGACATGTCTCTGCTGCAAAACTCTGGAAACAAAGATGTCAAAATTAAAACTTACCACACTGTACTGATGTAGTAAAAAAAAGAAAAAAATCATTTTAGCTTATTTAGCAGCAATTACACTCCTCCACCACACATTTACATACTTGATGCAAATTGTAAGGTGAGTCATATGTCAGTCTCCACTGCTTTAAAAATGGGCATCTATATGCAGGTTGCATTCATCTGTATTTCCAATTACTTCTCAAACTCAAACTCTGTCTAAGAGGTTCAAATACTGGTCCAATGTTTGCTGTGGTGAAGCATCTCACCTTGTTCCAGTCACAAAAATATAGGTTCTTGCAATGTCTTCCATGTTCAGTAAAACACTAGAAGTCCCCTGGTCCAAGCTGACAGGACAATCCGTTGGCCACTTGTCATTTAGCTGCAGGGTATCAGTGGTTCCTGAAAATAAAGTGCTGAAAGAAGTCACATGGTCCTTGCTTCACACAGTCACCACAGTAGACCCTTGGAATTCAAACTAATATTAGTCTTTATACAGCTTTAAAACATTGTCATTAAATAAGGAAAAAAATCTACTTTGTTTATAATAAATTATTTTAAAAAAGTAAACTTATAAGAAATTTTCACAATTTTATTTTATATTACAATTTTTTTCAGAGCTAGCACAAACTCTTTTTAGTTATGATTGCTGAGAATCTGTCAGCAGAGATTCTGTGCCGGCATTTTTTGTTCCCTCAGTTCCAAATCATTAACTTAAAACATGTTGTTTGTAGTTTTCTGACATTTCATATTTTAATTTATATAAAAAAAACCTGTTTATGAATGGTTCAGGGAAGTTTAATAAGTTAAAGAATGATTAATATGTAAAGTTGCATTATCTGGTAATACTTACAAGTTTCTGCTAGAATTTGCTAAAATACATTTCTGCTTTCACTTTCCCTGTTGGTCTGCTACTTACAAGCAGAGTCCATTCAGTGTTTTTTACCAACTGCAAATTATTCTAATTTCCCCTTTCTGAATAGCAATAATACTGCAGTTACTAGTTTATTCGGCACTATAATAATGCATTTAAACTTCTCTGCCATCCCTAAAACTGAAACGGATAGAAAGTACAAAGTTGTTGCTGGGATTCACAGAAGTTTTAAATGTTATCGAAGCACTTGGTCAAAGTGGTAAAGTTCCAACTACATAATTTAATTTTCTTTATATTCTGGCAATGATATGAGCAGTTATCTTTTTTTTTAAGTGAATCATTTTTTTCTTGCACCTGCCAGTTCTGAGAATATTGCTGCACATCTGTCCCTATCCCTTCTTAGCTGGACTGAAATGTCAACACCAGGAATAGATGTGTGTAAGCCATGACCCGTTCTGAAGAGTTCAGCCAGTGCAGCATGGTTCAAAGCCATTCTTATCAGTATCTCGCCAAGTTTAAAAACAAAGCAAGTATTTATTTAAAAGAAAATGTTTTACCGCATCTCTCTCTTGCTAAATTACTAACCTAACTTAACCTTCCCAAATGATTTGCCTGTTATATTCCTTAGTTTCTGTTAATGTTATTTTCAAATTTTAGTAGCTATTTTTAAATGTCACTCGCCAAACAAATTAGCTGTATTTTAAGATAAGCACACCTACAACATTTAACAAAATGTTAAATGTAAAAAAGAACCCCTAAACCAGTTTACAACATTTTTCTAAATTTTAGAAACTCTTAAGCATACATTTTTCTTTAGTGTCCATGTGTATCATTTAGCTTGCTGTTTAGCAGCTTGTTGAAAATCAGCACTTGTTATCCTTCTCAGGATGCATACAGCAAGGGCTGAGACTGCAAACTTGTATGTCTGCAGTGTGTTACAGTATGATGAGTCAAGATCCTCTTTAAACCCTCAAAATGGGTATGCCCAAGGTCACTTGTCCTGTTCATGTCCCTGGGCACCTGTGCTAGCATTTTGGACCTTTTTACTGTAAAACTATTTTGATATCGTAGTATGTAGGCAAATGGAGTGAATCAAATGAGGCATGTAATGTACCAGCTCGTACTACAGTCTTGTGGATTAGTTGCAGAATTTTACTAGCCTGCTAAAAGAGATGCTGGAGTGACATGGTTCTCTTAACTTGTCACAATTCTCTTAACTTGTTTGCCTGTCCACTAAAACAATTTTCAATAAACAATTCTCTTAGCAGTAAGTAAATATCTTAATCCTCTCCTGTAGTATCAAACAGGCATGTAAGAGGTAACACTTTATTTCATTGCTTCAGAAAAAACAATTTATGTGCTGGCTATAGAGTTTCAATGGAAGCATAAACAGCTACGTCTGAACAGCTGCAGTGCTCGTGTCTGTGTGAGCGTGTGGTGGGGGCTGGTAAGACTGTGCTATGGATATATAGGTGAGCATTCATCTATTAGCACCATAGCATTAGAAGTGTTTCAGGCAACCTGTCCTTGACTGGGTAGTGTAACTTTTATTTGCTGCAGAAAGATGCTAAATGCACTCTGCAACATTTGTTTTTCTTTTGTCTGACTAAACAGAATATACATGTGATGATACACATTGCACAAGAATAGCAAAAATCCTGGAAAATTTGGAAAAGGTATCTCATCGATATGATAAATTTGAAAAATCAATTTGTTGAATTCTTTTGTCAGGCACCTTTTATGCTTTTTCCCAGACTATCCTGTCCATAGGAAGTGCTTTGTAGTGGAGTCTGTAGGGGTACTACAGCATTTTCATCAAAGCACTTACATAACGATGGAGAAGGTTGCTTATCTGAGAGGGGAGAAATCTGGGTTCAATTCCCAGCTCAGCCACTGATTGTCTCTTATTTTATTTATGTCATTTAAGGTTTGACAGAAAAAAAATGTAGGTGTAGCAAATCCTGTCATTTAAACTCGTGAGTATGTGCCAGCACTCACCAGTCTACCTTCAGGCCAGGGAGGCTGCATTCCTCCCGTAGCAGAGGTCCTTAATACCAGTGGCATCCATTCCACTTCTCTAAAAGTGGAGGAAAGGGAATGTCTGTCTTACATGTGAAAGATGGTACTTGTACAAGACATGGAATATACAGCTTCAGTTACCCCTCATCTACAGGAAGCTGAAACACACATTTCTCATCCTCTTGGAGAGTGCCATATACAAAAAATACTACTGTCTTAATAGGAGCTGGTCATCACATTTTCTTTTCTTACTGAGAGTGACAGTGAGATGCAATTCCTTAACTTTGAAAGGTGTTGAACCAGTGTCCCTTGGAATAGGGACTGGATTTCATGTATTCCCTACTGTTTAAGTTATGTGCATACACCTCTTCTACATTAACAGACAGAAATGCAATTGCTGTATTTTTCAGTGGGCCTTGTCTTAAGGCAGGCTTGCAAAGCACTTCACAGATGGCGCTCCACAGGCAAACCAAGTGGAAGAATAACCACTTTATGGCTATCAATCAATACAGGATGTGAGCTAGAAGCCAAATGGCTTATTCCTGTGGAGAGTGAGCAGCTCCTGTACATGCCTAGCAGCAGAACTTTAAACAGCTTGGGAGCTTTAAAAGCCAAGTCCCCAGAGTAAGTTAGGCAGCCCTCAGGCCTGTAGACTGATGAGCAGGGTTTTCAGAATCACAGTTCTGTTGCCTGATTTCAGCAATGCTCAGTTACAGCATCAATCCATCAGTCTCAGGTGTTCTGCACTGTGCCGTGGATCTGTCTTGCTATGACCAAGCCATTTTTGCATCCTAGTTTTATTGTGTCTTGGAGATTAGCTTGCTGAGCCTCTTGTTGGTGTTACCTCTTCTGTTTGTCAAGCAAAATCCCTAGTTCAGTGCCTCTTAATTCTCTCTGTTCTGGTGTCACAGAAGAAGTTTCGTCTGTACCTCTAAAGTGTGCACTGGGGATGGTTAGGGACTGTATGACTAGCTGTTGTGCTCTCTGTACTGTTTGTACATAGCTATGCATTATGCCATGCTCAAAATGGTATGCCAATTTATAGGACAGCAGGTCGTCTTCTCTCTGTGCATCTTCCAGTTACCTGTAGCTCTGACTTCAGTTCCTAGCAGTAGAGGGCTAGCTTTTCAGCTGAGCAAAGTGCTACCAAGTGCCTCATTTACCATTCTGTCATTTTAGAGTGACAAATATGGATCAGGAACTGTATCTGCAGTCTTTTATGTATGTTTTCAGTTATTCTGACACTCTTTGCCTCTGCTAAATTAAGAGTAATGGAAGCTTGTGGTGCCACGTCTAAACACATACTTCTTTGCAGCCTGCCTGAACTCCCATGCTGTCACTTGTTGGCCATTGTCAAGGCATTTCACTTTGTCAGGTGCACCAAGGAAGGTGAGTTCCATATAGATAATCAGCTATTTAAGGGGAAAGCCAGATAAAAAAACTGTCTCAGAAAAGCATGTATCAGACTGCAGAACATATACAGACTTTTTATCATTCGACATAAAAAATATATAGGCCTCCCCTCTTTTTTGAAGAGCCTTAAGTTACCACTCTCTATGGGTGCAGTTCTTGTAGACTCTGTACAGAACATGCCCTGTGTGCTGTGTGCCAGCCCAGTGCCTTAGATACTCTAGAGTGTATAAAGAGCCAGCTGAAGTGTACTTAAGATGCATCAAGATCACTAAAATGGCATTAGAAGACAACTAAAACCTCCCCAAAGTGTCTATGCTCATGTTGCAGCCCATGGAGACCTAGGGTTCAGTTCAGATGCATCTGGGTTGTCAGATGTGTCACAGGCCTTACAAGAGATCCAGATCTATTTGGGTTGTCATCTGGAGACCAGGATGTGTCACAGCACCTGGAATTATTTAGTTGCATGGATTTAGCAATGCCTTTTGATATGGGAACATACTGTTTTGACATGCTAGCCATCCTGCAGTAACATACGGCAAACAAATCCTTCACCCAGCATGCCTACAGTAGTGTAAGGACAAATCATGCTCTAATCTGCATTTACTAGTCTGACTAGGCTCCATTGAGAGTTTGGATCCCTGGCTTAGACTTAAATTTCAGTGTCTACATTCAGGCTATATCCCAGTTTTAGATTCCTATGATGGTCAAGAAAACACCATCTCAGCACTGAGTTTCAGCCATGACTTTTATCCCAGTGCCCAGACCAATGCTGATCGCACCACAGTGGCTTGTACATCTTTATCCAACTTAAAATTAAAAACATTCTGTTTGCTTTCATACTGTTTCATCATTTTGGCAGCTGCTAAAGTGTCATCCTTTTTGAAAAAATGCTCTGATACCTTCCTTTGAACAATTTCTCTGGGCTAGTTTTGTTGTTTCCCTCTTTGTTCTGTGCACATTCTGCTGCTAACTCCAGAAAAGTGATCAAATACATTGGGCTCGTACATCTTTTTACTGACTCACTGTTATTAACTTACCTTTTGCAACAGCATGGATGTAGGCAGCATCTTATGATGGCGTATTTTGGACTCTCTGAGAACTACGTGTGTCAAGTCTCTTTTGTCTTTTGGTTCCTCTGTTGTGTCCTATTCTGTCAAAATTGTGGTCTACCTTCCATAGGCTTTGGCCTGCAAAGAGCAATTTCACTGGCTTTGCAGCTTCCAGTTTTACTGTCAAGGTTAATAGTGGGTTTGTCCCAAATCCCAGTCACAAACTTGTCCTTTATCTATAACATCCACACGTACTGGCTCCTCAGCCTTTAATTATTTATACTTATCCTGTCCATTTCTGAAGAGCTTTTTACTCTGTTATGAGTTTTAACTGCTGTGTTTTTCCACCCAGTGTTTTCTTAGATTGTGCTATTCATGCAATATGAATGTACCTTGCTACAGAATACAAGTATGGCAAAACAAACAGAAGCCTTTTGACAAGCTATGGAAAATCTGGGCTGACCATGCCAGTTAACTGGAACCCAACAACTATTAACCCTCCTGCAAGGTGCAGACATGGGTCGTAGCCAGGAAGCAGAGTAACCAATTAATGAAAACTGCTCTGATCAGTACCTAAAGCTAGAAAAAGCGGGGATTTTTCCACAATAGAATTAATTTTACTTTTGGTACTGTTCAAATACATGTCCTGGTATCATCATCAGGCAAGCATGGCTTTTTTGAAAATGTCAACTACTCTCATTTATATTTAAACTAAAACCTGAAAATTGAAAATGGAGGGTTTTTTTCATTTTTAGCGGCCAAAAATCCGTATTTTAAAAAAGTCAATTTCTCTTTGTGTTTTGAAATAAAATAATACTGCTGAGAGCATAAAAGACACAGGATGTAATGCTAATAGTTAATAAAATAGTTAATAAAATAGTAGTGTATTTCATTACTACTTCTAATAAGATAATGACAGTGCTAAAAATATTTTCCCTGTTCCATAAAAAGTTGTAGCTGTATTTTAATCAGTAAATGGACTTAAAATATGCAGAAATTGTGGTTTTAAGAGTTTCTTTATAATAATACGCTATTTTAACACTAACCGAAGGTTTGTCAATTTGCATATTTAATTTACTCATTAATTACTTATAGACTACGATGCACAATTTATACTAGGCTTCTTGGATGCTTTAATGTTTCAAATGTTTATATTTCAAATTACAAAAAGGACTGTTAGGATGATCTGGTGCTTTCAAGGCCTCTATGTATTTAACTACTGTATCCAGTTCATCTGACCTTATTATAAGCCCTCAGGTACTTTTAAGATTCATAAAAACAAGTGACTACACAGAGAACTTCAATTTCCATTAAAATCATAGCTTATGTCTGGTTTGATATCTCTTCTATGTGTTAATACTTACATTCAGTGATCAGTGACCTCTCAGCCTTTTTGGGTAACCCGTCTTGTGTACATCAGCCTGCGGTGGGTGGCTGTGGCAGGCCCACTATATGCGACGGGGCTATAGGAGTTAACCAGGTGGCCCGTTTTTCAGGAATGTTGTGCAAGTGTTCATTTAGGTTCTGTACACCTGTAATCATGTATAATGCATATGAGAAATGGGAATAAAAAATGTAAGAACTGTGGGGTTTTTGTGTGTGTTTCACACTGATGAAAAATATAAAGATATGGTTTGCTTTTGGGGGCCAGTACTTACAACTGACATTTATTGTCGTGCCTTCTGTGTTAATGAGACACCTTCTTAAGGAATGCAGACTTGATTATTTTTCTCCTTCACAGATGCTACAAGAACAGCATACCCAAGATGCAGGAAAAAAAGGAATTCTAAATGTTTCCCAGTTATAAAGAAGCTGGGAGAATATATCTGGGAGGGTTGTGCTTGCCTGTTTTTGCAGTCTTCTCTAGGGATCTGCTGTTGGCCTCTCTTGGAGGCAGGACATTGGAACAGAGAGACTTTAGGCTGACCCAGTAGAACTGTTCTTGTGCTCTTACATCCTTACTTACAACACAATAAATTTAGAATATTGATGATCTTCTTAACTACATGGAACGTAATTAAAAATAGCTTGGAAAAAAATGTGGATTTTTTTTAGTTCCAGCAGAAAATCTGAGCCAGTATTTATATGCTGTTCAACAGATGGAAAAAAAAGGGATGGTATTTTTGTTAGTGACCTATTAGCTGCAAGGTCATAAAATGTGTATAATGAAAAGAGCCGTTAGGGTGTGCCATTTTACATGTGTCATGAAACTATTCAATGGCATTAATATTTCTACTCTAGGACATATTAACTTGTATTCAAGAAGTGATACAGTGCTGTCCATGGATATGTGCTAGCAAGATCCTCTATCCTAATCAAATATTTAGATTTTAAAAGGGCTGCCCCAGAAAGTGGGATCACCTTGCACTGATCCAGTTGGAGGGATGTGGTCTGTTAGCTCCTAGACATTACAACATTTGGTATGTAATAATGGTAAGATTTGAATAATGGATAACGCAATGTTTAAGGAAGTTGTTACATGCAACTGGGTCAGTTGTGTGCACCCTTAAATAGTCATAACATTATATAAGCAACATTTACAGGTGTCTTGAAAACACAGATATCTCTTGGGAAGTTAAAATATAATTGCTATCATTAGTCAATGTGTTAGCTCCTGAGGAGAGTCATCTCTTCTTAAACACTATAAAAGTCTTTTAGCAAAGGATATGAGTATATTAAAAGCTATGATTTTTTCACAAAGGTTTTAATCCAGCACAGGTAACTTTACCTTCTTAATTGTCCTTATAGCACCCTGATGAACTTGAAAGTAGAGGTCAAATTATTGTGTGCGGTTTTAAATCCTATCTGTTGCATTATTTAAGCAGAATGGAAATGCTTCTTTTGGATTTAAGTAAAATATATCTATGAAAATATATCTATGAAAATAATCGCTCATCTATCTATGAGCAACTTCTCACTGAAATTCTGCAAAGCTTGCTTGCACTGTTGTGTTAAAAAGCATGTGGTTGTATAACTGGTGGAGTGAAAAGTCAAGTGGCTCAATTATCTTTTTAAAGATAACTTAAAGATTTTAATTTTTCTTCATAAAGATTTTGCAAAGTCACCGATTCTGAGAATGTTGCAATTCCATGTGTACAAAGGAAAAGGTAAAAAGTGTAAAATAGTTTGTATTTCCACAAGCCTTACATAATCCTAAAGCCTTTGCCTATCATTATTTTAGCACCTTCAAAAGAGACATAGGCTGTAAAATCAGATTCACATTTCCATTTCTAATTGGAATTGACCCATCCTGGCTCAGTTCTGTCAAGACTCAGATCTAGCAGAAAAAATTATTATGAAAGAAATGGGAAATCTTTCACAGCTAATCATAAATTTTGTCACTGAAGCAAGTTCTTTATAACTGCATTAAGCAAACGTGTATAGCTTACAGTCTGTGTTCTTGTTTCCACAGTGCATACATTATAACAGACTTCATGGGCATCAGGAATGAAAATTTTATGAAGGTAGCTGCAGTTGGGACTTGGATGGGAGATTTTGTCACAGCATGGATGGTAAGAAATGTAATATTACATTTTAAAAGAAAATGAATATGTTTGTTGGCTTCAAGGGAAGGAGGAGAGAAGAAAGAAAACTCAGTTTCTTGAAGTATCCAAGTATTTCAACCCAGACAAGTAGAAAGTTAACAAAGGCAAAGTAGCATAATGGCAGGGTATTTAATTAGTTGGAAGTCCAGAAGAATTTCAGTTAAAATGTATCAGAGCAATATTTCATTTCTTCTGCTGTGAGTGGGAATTTTGCCATTGACTTCTGTGAGGACAGCATGGTGGCCCTTCTTTGCTGTGAAATAACATCTTGACTTGCTATCTGGTGAAACAGTGAGTAACAGCTAGAGATAAAGAAGTCTAATGAAAAGGATTAAAAAAAGAAGAAAAATTAACTGAAAGATGTGACCAAGAGCAATGGAGATGAGAGAAGGCAAGCAAGCCAGTTACATCCCAGACTTTGAAGGCAGCCTGTTTGATGTGAAACTATCAGATTAAGTTTGTCTCTAATTTAGGATTTAGAAGAATAAAGTTTTCACTTGGATTATAATTGGTATAAAGGTTCTCTCCTGAAATATGGGCAACCCAAAGACCAGCTTGGTGAAAGAGAACCAGAAAGTGACAGCTAACTGTGAACAAAATGAAGCATGTGCACATGTTTTTATTGTTCAGGAAAAGCATTTCTTAAACACAAAGTGATAAAAAGTGAATACCTTTTTTCTTATTTTTAGTAAGATTAGGTTTTTATGATTAAGGTAAGTAAGAGTTTTAACAATTATGACTGTGACATTCATTTAAATTGGGAAAAGAAGTCCATGATTTTTAAGCTTGCAGAATTGGTTTTAATTAAACTAAATTTTTTTCCCTAATGGTTCATTGCTACCTCTGTTTGTTTACTCAAAAGAGTCAACATAATTTTAGAAGAATTTCATTAACACAGGGAACATTGCCTGATGGTGAATGTTTATCACATATCACATAAACATGGATGGAAAAGATCTCAGTACTGTATGTAGCTAGTGACTGCAGTAATCTCTGAAGTAAACAAAGAAACAAGCTGAGGTGCATAAATTTTAGGACTGTGGTATGTGTTAGGAGAAAACACTATAGGAATAGTTTCAAGAAGAATGACTGTAAGATGCTAAGACTATAGTCTATAAAACTGTAGGAATAGTCTTGGAAGGGCCACCCAAGTTTCTGTCAATTTGTCTTATATCCTGCACATATTTAGAACATACTGTACAACAGACAGAAAAAAAAAAAAAGGCATCAAGGATTTTTTCAGCATATTGTTCAGAATGTGTCAGTGGTTTGTCCGAGACAAATTATGCTCTGTGAAATGGTGGCCATGAAAAGCAAGTACAGAACAAATCATCTGTACATACATTACAGTAAGGACATTGCAGAATTGGTGCATTGACTGATGTTGACAATTAATGTGGATTCTTGTGAATCAGTAATAAAATTCATGGCTACTGCTGAACACCTTTAGCTTGACCCTTTTTTTTAATGGGCTTCCACAGCTTTATCCCACTATGGAAGGAAAGATGATGCATAAGCTAAGCTGAATTGAGAGGGGTCATGTTTATCATACATATGTGACTTAGAGCTCCAGTGATAGTTTACATACAAGTTGCACTACATTAGGTAACGTTCAATTTTTTCAGTCCCTCTTTTCTCATTTCCTTGAAAAAAACTGTTACATGCAGCCCTATATAAAGCATGGAAATGGCTGGATTCAAGAGGCATGAGAATCCTGATCCCTTTCTGTGTACTCAAAGCCCTCTTGGGTCTTTTCACCAATGGAGGCACAATTGGATTGTGCCACAGCAGATTCCAGTGGTGGATGGAGTTATCACTGAAGAATGGGGGAGAGACTGGGAGAGACTGCAGAGGCAGTTTGGAAAGGGGAGGCTGTCTGTAAACTAGGCTGGTTCTGTTAGCTTTCAGAAAGAGCAGAGGGCATGAGATTGGAGGGTCAGTGGGTTCTAGGACATGCTTTGATTGCACGAGGAGAATTAAGAGGTGTGGTCATTGGTGTTTAGATCTTCAGAACAAAAGAGAATAGTGAGATTGCTTCTGCAATGCAAATCTCTAGACAAAGTTTATGAATCAATGGAAATTACAGTGTTTAAGGGCAGCTAAGCCTTGGAACACCAGAAAAAGCTACAATGTCAAGTAGAGAGGTATTAGTAACAGAGTAGACTAGATATGTACATTGGTGCAAACCTCCCACACAGCCTAACTTTAGCAATCTTATTCTATATGAACAGAAATTATCATGTTGTTTATAATATTTGAATTTGCTTGACTTTCTGCATGTCAAGCCCAGCATGGAATTGATATCAAAGTGACATGAGTCTTCTGTGGCATTATTATGTTTTATGAAGTTCTCCAATCCTGTTTGGAAACAGGACAGAAAAAACAAACCTGTAAAGGAAACTTTGCAGATCTTCCCATTCACAGCATTGCTTATATTTTTTAATGTTTTAGAAGTTTCTGTAAAGAAGCCACTCATCCTTAGACTACAAAGAAAAAGATGAAAAAGCAAATGTATCCTTCACTTCAGTATATTTGAGCCATACTGGAATTAAGATCTTATCCCCTATTTAATTTGAAACTTTGGAAATAAGCAGGAATAAAGCAGAACAGATGGGATTCCATTTTAAAAATGAGTAATCAATAAACAATAATATTGCCCTAGTACAGAGAGGAGTGGCTTATTAAATCAGGAAAGTGATTGAAATGGGGAAAATATGTTTTGGATTGCTGTTTGGTTTGGATTTAAAAGGCAAAAGTGAGCCTTCCCCCTCAAAACTTCCTAGTTCACTGACTAGTTTCGTGACAGTGTCTGACTCAATTCCTAATAAAATCAGCAATGGTTTTTCCATTGTGTGCAATGAGAATGGGGCCGTGTTATGGGTGCACAGGAGCTTCTCCTTTGTACCTCTGGACAGGAACTTCTGCTACTAATAATTATCTTTGCTGAAATATGTAGTAAGTGTTAGATGTTGTAAGTAAGTCTGTGAAGAGGGGAGTGGGTTCAATACACTAACTGTCTCTCTGCACTTTTTCCTCTTTGAAGCCAGGGAAGTATATTCTGCACTTGCTTTGATATGCTGTCCCGCTCTCATAAAATGTGCATTCTGTTCTCATGGAGAGTGCTTTTGAGGCAGACACCACAGGATTTGGCACAGTAGGATAGCTTTGAAAAAAAGGTTGGATTCCACCTATACAAGCCTATAAACTAGCAGTTATGGCCACCTTCTGGGTGAGTGTGAGTAGGCTGGAGAAGGAGCTGATTCCAGGGCAGCATCTCTGATGATTAGAGGTGGGTGGCCTCTTGACCCTCTCTCTAAAAATGAGCAACCTGCTGCAGCTGTATTTTTGTGAGGGGCGCAGTCCTTAGCATGTGTGGTAAGGCATGCTCAGAGTATACCTACAGGAGTGGATGGCACTGAATATTGACACAGAGGGCAGAGTACAACCAGAGCCTCCTCTGTTCTTTACAGCCACCTGGTGAGGTGGAACAGCCTGCTTTCCACCTTCTTTCCAGACACTGTTGGCTTTTAGACTGTCAAAACTGTTGTTTTCCACTTTGGATGATGGCTCCTTGGGCTCTCCAAAGATTACATATTGGCCCTGCGCTATGAATGATACTCGTACCACATTGAGAGATTTGCTTACCAACTGCCATTGCTGTTTATGTTAAAGACATATCCCTGCCTACAAGCCCTACATACGTGTGAAAGAGTCTGAACAGTACAAGTTTGTTACATCTTCCTTAGACCTTGCTTGCTAGGATTATCAGAAGCTGAAGTAGTCAACTTCAGCCAGAGGCTGGCACTAATCTGTATGAATGTGTCAGGAGCTGACCCTCTTGACAAGGGATCCTATTCCCATTTACCTTCCTTCTGAAAGGTAATTTAATTGAGGTTCTGTTTTCCCTCGTTAATTGCTAGAGGGAACTGAGCATGTTTGAGAGATCACTGAGCAGTAGAGTCTGCTGGCTCACATCATCAGAAACAATGATAAACTCAAGGGATGGTTTAGTTTATTATTCATCAAACTAGTATTTACCAAATCTGTACCAGCATGATCTTTTCAACAAGGAGAAGCCAAGACTTCTCTCAGCACTGTGCTTTAGCACAGTACTTGGCACAGTATCTTAGAGTGTAAGCTGAATCATTGTCACAATTCCTGGCTGTTCTTTCTGACACCTTCACTTGACTTCAGTTTGACTCTTCCCTCACTTGGGACCATGAAGACTCCCAGGACCGTTTCTGTCTTTCATTGTCTTAGCGGAGGAATCAGTAAGAAGTTAGGAAGTAGTACTTCCAGCGTAGTCTGGATGGAAGGGTGATAGGTCATCACTTGTTCCACTGACCCATTATCCCGGACTGACATAGACACATCCTATCCACTAGGAGGTAGAGACCTTCTACCTCAGACTTCTTGTCAGGACATAGTATTGGGATTTCAAAAGTTTATTACTGACTGATGAATCCACACCTACTTTTCCTCATTAGTGGAACTGGATAATGACTCCCATATACACAAGTTGCCCGGGGTTCTGTGAAGTTTCAGTTCCAGAGGACAAACCTTACACCGTTATGTGTTCTGGCTTTGCTAGTTGTGAAAGAAATAGATTTTGTTCTATTCTTTTCATTCACATTTCTCTATTAGGCATTCTTAATCTTCATCCTGTGGTAAAGGAGGCTTCTGTATTTTCCCATTTTATGAGACTAACATGTCTTACATGGCTGGTCACAGTGTAGCTAGTAGAGGGGCCGGTGGCTAGTTCATAAAGAACACTCTAGAGGGCTGAGGCCTGTCCATGTGGTCCTTGATGCTATTCACATCAATAGCTGACAGGTTTAAGTGAATGGTTACTGCCATGCAAGCACACAGTAAATCTGTAGACTCCTAAACTAGAACTTCTGTCATGTGCACCATGTTAGAACTCAGGCTACATCTGTAAGAACATAAAGAGTCGTACCTGGTCAGAC